ATCAGCCTCTATCTTGTCAGACATTAGTTATGATAAAACTGATGATTCTTTGGTATGCCATTTCCTTTCATATTAAAAACTTTAATCATAAATGTATTTCGGTCTCAAACCTGATGGGGAGAAAGTGAAACATTTTAAAGAAATTTACTAACATTTTAATTTTGTTAGACTGGCTCATCTTTTATTGATTGGAGTTTTGTTGTTGCAGTAATTTATTTTTAAATTAACTTTTCATTGAATAAAGGACTGGGACTCTTCTGCAATCAGGACTGTTCGTCTCAAGAAGCGGCAAAAGAGAGTAAGCTTCCCAACAAAGCTGTAATTAATAAAATTTCTTCCAAATTTCAATCAATATCTGATCTTTCAATCTGTCTCAATGCAGCGCTCCTCCCGAAACCACACAGATGGTCCCCCTGCCGCTGCCAAGAGGTCCCGTTCCACCAGCTGCACCTCTGAGAAAGTAAGAGGGTTACATAAGCATAAGACTGACAGTTTAAATTGGGGAAAGACTCTTCAGTTTAAAGGCTCCCTTTAGGGCTTTGCTTTAGTCATTACGAGTAAAATGTTTCCACCAGTCCCTACAACCCATAGGAGTGTGAATATTGGAAGGTTTTGTCTTCTTTTGACATTGTGAGAGCCAACAAGCTATTCCCTGGTTGTTTTTGATGTTGGAATGCTGTTATTGTCCAGTTAATACCACCATATTTTAGTTGAATGTGTAGTCAGTTAGAAATAGTTTGACAGTTCATTCAAGTCACGTTTTATCAGGGTAATGAGTCTCTGGTGGCTAAGACCACCGTGACTGTGCCCGCTGATGGCGGACCCATTGAAGCTGTCACCACAGTGGAGGCTGTTCCTTACTGGACCCGGAGCCGCCGAAAAACTGGTAAGCTCACTTCCATAAATTTAATATTGTCATTCATGAGGGTGCACATTTCAGAGCAAGAGAATATTTGCATGAGTCATTGATTATGCGATTTTCTTATTGACGGAATAATAATGTGCAGGCTGCTGCTGTATTATAAATAAGCTCCGCAGTGAGTCATGATATGTGGTTTCAGTATCATAAATGTGTGTTTTTATCGAACAGCGTCAAAGATTAATTTTTTTAATAATTTAATACATAGTTTGTAGGACTCTGGGGTGTTTTAAATTGACCCCTTGTTGAGTCTCCAGCATGGTATTCTTTATGCTTGTTTGTGTTTTGTATGGGATGTTCTTCCTGATCATTTCTCACACCCTGAGCCTTTGCATTTCTGTTTAAGTATTCTGCAGTAGTGAGTGAGTGAGCAGTGCTTCTCTCTGCTTTGTTCTTCAGCTGCTCTGGAGTGGGACACTGCTGACACAGACTCTGTTCAGTCTATGGATGTGTTCAAGCAGCCCAGTCAGCCCAATGGAGAGACCAAGGCAGGGCCCAGCACTCCCCAGGGCAACGGAGGTGTCCGTCTGCATGAATTTGTCTCCAAAACGGTATGATGCGGTGTTGCATACAAAATCTCTGAAATCAATGCACTTCTCCAGTCGCATTGCTCTTGAGTCCCAACCAGAGAGTTAATTTCTCCTAGTTTTTGCAGTTATACAATTGTTAGTTCCATTTTTATGATTTGATTGCATAAGTCAGGACTTTTTAAAATTGGGTTCATGCGGGGAAACAGTTGATGTAAAGCTAATAAATAAATGTGAAATTTAAAATGAATTAAGACATTTAAACACAAAAGATATTTGAGTATTTTATGAATATTCACAAATATTTGATTTGTTTGCCTGCATGTGACCATTAACCAACATTAGTGAACTGTTAAATGATTAAATCTCTTAAATCTAAAATCTCTTCTTTAAAGTCACAATGAAATGGAAGTAGTGACAGATCTTTCTTCAGTATTGTATCTACTTAAAAGATAATGTTGGGAGTGACTTCTGTGCACTGGTTGTTGAATAGATTTTGAGATGCGGGCATTTACACTCAAAAGCAGAGGTAGATGAACGCAAGCTTGATGGATTGTGGATTAAATAATCTGAGAAGACTTGCATATGTAACCAGAGTCTGTTTTTAACACCCAAAGGTCCAGTTATGACATTTTTATTGAAACATTGCAAGGTAAAAATGGAAAGAAAGAAAAAAAAATGAGAATTGTTCACTATAAGTTCTGTAACATTTAGTGTGAATTTCATGACTTTAAGTAAATATTTTTGGTCACAGTGGTTCAACTGACAAAAAAAGTTTGGGAATTCCTTGGTTAAGCGATGAGTGCTAGTATAACAGTAATAGGGATGTAACGATTACCGGCTTGACGATAAATCATGATAAAATTCCCCACGGTTAGTATTACCGTTTCATCTTTTAATTATCATTAAAACCGTATTAGATTACCGCGATTTGAACAACTCGCGATAAATACTGTCCAGCATAAAGCACAGTTTCAAGTAACAGTCTCACGTGCGTACAGCACGCAGAGTAGTTTCGTTTTGAGTGAGAACAGGGCGGAAAAGCTGGGCGGTTTTAAAAGAGTGCTAAGGGAATTATACAAATGAATATAATAATTAATTATATGAATGTACCTCTGAAGGTTCTGACTGTCTTCAGAAACGATTCGACGGCATTTTGTTTTCATCTTCGCTCCATGTAATACCTAAAGGAAGTGTTCTTAATCGCAATACTGCTTTGTCCACGGAGGTTACTGGAAACAGCTCTAATTCAGCTTTTCTATAAGCGCCACCTGCTGTCAGCGAGTGGATTTACAGAGACTTATATTTACATTCAGCCTGTGTGCAGTTTCTGTCTGGCCAAAAAACAGACCAAATTTGCATGCCCTGCTGTAAATTTTGACCGGTTGATGAAAAACAAGCTTATGTGGGTTCTACACATTTAAACAATTCAGATAAGTTATCTAGAATTCTTTATGGAGCAGATAAAATATCATGTATTAATCAATTATCATTTTGACTTCTTATCATCTTTTCTTTATTTAAAGGCTGAAATGTGAGGTTTACCTTTTTTATTAAACTTTTTCAAAGCTTTATTTGAACATTTACATTAGATATTTCAACATGCTATTAAACTGTTGTCAGTCAAGTTGTCATTTAAAATCCGAACATCATTGGTAATGTTATTGTTTTTAGTGATTATGCAAACAAAAAGTCATTTTATTTGTTGTTTGTTGATTTTTAAATATAAAACTTGAAGTGATTTCAGCACATACAATACCGTAACATCTCCAGCACATTTTAACAAAACCGTGATAATACTGATAACCCGGAGGTTACGGGAAACAGCTCTAATTCAGCTTTTCCATAAGCGCCACCTGCTGTCAGCTAGTATATATAGACTTATATTTACATTCAGTCTGTATGCAGCAGTTTCATTGGTAATGTTATTGTTTTAGTGATTATGCAAACAAAAGGTCATTTTATTTGTTGTTTGTTGATTTTTAAATATAAAACTTGAAGTGATTTCAGCACATTTTAACAATACCGTGATAATACTGATAACCGTGACAATTTTGGTCACTATAATCGTGATAAGAAATTTTCATACCGTTACATCCCTAAACAGTAACATTCATTGTTCATACCGATTCTATGGTTTGCAACGTTGTACCTATTTCAGTTATCATAGCACCAAAAAAAAGCAAAATAGTAGTCCATATTATGTCTCAAATGTCCACACCAAGTAAAGTTTTCAAAGCATGTAAAACTGACACAAAACTATATCACTCCAATTATAATCAATGAAGTAATCTGCACAGGTCTGTGTTTATAGCCCTCACAGCTCATATCTGCCTGGCCCTTGTGATTTTTCCTAGGTGATCAAGCCAGAGTCTTGTGTGCCGTGTGGTAAGAGGATCAAATTTGGGAAGATCTCTCTGAAGTGCAGGGACTGCCGTGTGGTGGCCCACCCCGAGTGCCGTGAGCGCTGCCCTCTGCCCTGCATTCCAAACATGACTGGGACTCCAGTGAAATTCGAGGAGGTGACAAATCTTTATGAAGCTTTTTCATCAAGCTTGAGTATTTCCGCCTCTATTTTACTGATTTTTTTTCATTAAAATAAGAGGCTGCATTGGACTCTTAATTTCTTTAAACATATATACCTTATTCACTGATTGCTTCTGGTGTGATTTTCAATAGGGCATCCTAGCAAATTATGTGTCCACCTCCTCTCCCATGATTCCTTCGCTAGTAGTGCACTGTGTTAATGAGATTGAGCAGAGAGGCCTACATGAGGTAAGTCGATAAAGAGGCTGAATTCTTGAATTCTAAACAAGACCAGTATGGTCTGAAAACCTGCATATTCCTTTGATAGACTGGTCTGTATCGGGTGTCTGGCTCTGATCGAGTAGTCAAGGACCTGAAAGAGAAGTTCATGCGTGGGAAGACTGTTCCCTTGCTCAGCAAGGTGGACGATATCCATGCCATCACTGGCCTCCTCAAGGACTTCCTGAGGAACCTCAAAGAACCCCTGCTGACCTTCCGCCTCAATCGTGCCTTCATGGATGCTGCTGGTTAGTGTTGATGAATGTACACCGCTGTTCAAAAGTTTGGGGTTTGTAAAATTTTTTTTTGCGATTTTTGCAAGACATCTCTTATACTCACCAAGGCTGTTTTATTTGAACATTACAGTAAAGACAGCAATATTGTGAAAAATTATTACTTTATGGTTTTAATATATTTTATGTAATGTAATTTTTTCCTGTGGTGGCAAAGCTGAATTTTCAGAATCATTACTCCAGTCTTCAGTGTCACATGATCCTTCAGAAATCATTCTAATATGCTGATTTGGTGTTCTAGACAATATTATTAATGTTTAAAACCGTAGTGCTGCTTAAATTTATTTAATTTTTTTGTGGAAACCATGATACATTGACATGGGATTCTTTGAATTGAAAGTTGAAAAGAACAGCATTTATTTGAAATAGTAGTCTTTTGTAACATTATGAATGTCAATATTTGGTTATATATAATAACTAGGGATGCACCGATATGAAAATTTTGGCCGATACCAATAATTCTTTATTTTTGAAAGCCGATAACCGATATGTTGGCCGATAAATCTATATCCAAATTTTTATATACTTTTTGAGAGCCTGATTACAAAAAAGGTCTCCTCATTAATAGGGCTGTGCGATTTGGGGGAAAATATCAAATTGCGATTTTTTTTTTGACAGATATTGCGATTGCGATTTCTAATTTGCAAAGTGAAGCTTCACACAGCTTTAAACTTGCAATTTCGATGGCTAACAAATGCATTAATATGACCAGCTGCATATAAACTAATGCAAATATATGGTTACAATCGTAACATTAAACATTTGGGTCAGACTTGCGTGTGTTTTGGTCACCACTTGAGGTAATACTAATGTTGCATCCTCTCAGCCTTGAAAGCAAACTGCTGATCTTTCTGTACTAATTTAACATCTCGCGGACACCATCCCTCCGTGCAGATAAAGATGTGTCGCATTAATAACAAGTTATAAGTTAAGGCCGTATGATTTCCGTTAGGGATGCACCGATATGAAAATTTTGGCCGATACCGATAACCGATAATTCTTTCTTTTTAAAAGCTGATAACCGATATGTTGGCCGATAAATCTATATCCAAATTTTTATATACTTTTTGAGAGCCTGATTACAAAAAAGGTCTCATCATTAAAAGCCACATCCCAAACACTTCAACATAAGCAGCCTAGTTTGAACGGTGTACGTTTTAAAAATAATTTTACTCTCCCATTACCAAATTTAGTCATAAAAAAGTCTTACAAATAAATAAAATAAAAGTCACTGGACATCATTACACGTGTAAAGAATCAAAATGAATGCGCCATAGATCAATAAAACGGAATAGCCTCTGCACGGACAATAATTAAATGATTTTAATTACTAAACCATATTGTTGATGAAAATAATAAGAGAAAAATACAAGTGGTTGTTATTATTAATAATGTATCAATGATTTTGAAAAAGTAACAAATTAATACCACTGTTTTAAATAGCAGCCGTTTGAGCTGCGCGTGCTGAAGCTGAAGAGCTGAATGAACACGGTAAACTGAAGCGTTTTGCTGGCAGCTTATTTAACTCAAGGAAATGCATCCTGAGATTAATATTAATACAACATAAACATAATATATATATATATATATATACAAAATGACGCAGTTATTGCGTGCTACAGTCAGAATGTGTGATCCTGTTGTGGTTGCGCTCTTCCCATAACAACGCGCTGAAACACGGCAACTAAACCCAAAGAATTCACAACGTTTTATTGTAATAATGTTCTCATTAGAATGTTATATACACGACATTCTCAATCATAGTTATTAATGTTGTGCACTGCTGTTTGAGCTGCGTGCGCTGAGCTAAAGATGATCACCGGTAAACTGAAGCGCTCTTTTAACTTAACCAAACGCATTCTATATGAGATAAATCAGATATACATCAAATAAACACAATATTACAACGTACAATTGCACAAAAGGCTGCAAACGAACAGCGCGCATCTGAAGTGTCTCTGAAGGAAATAATGCATTATTTATCGGCTTTAAGATATCGGCCAAATTTTCTTATCGGGCCGATACCGATAACAGAAAAAATGAGCATTTATCGGCTGATACCGATATGGTGGCCGATATATCGTGCATCCCTAATAATAACAGTACATATCAGTACATTCAATAGTAACTATTCAGTCTTTTCTCATAGAGCTCTCCGATGATGACAACAGCATCGCCTTGATGTATCAGAACATCAGTGATCTTCCACAGCCCAACAGAGACACTCTGGCCTTCCTCATCATCCATTTGCAGAGGTAAACAGCACACATGGTCTCTGATTCTACTGTCTGCTTTATAGCTGGTGCCGCTTGCTAATATGTTATGTTTCTTACCAGATAACACTTACATTTGTGACATTTAAGAGAGTATTCCAGGTTTAACGCAACTTTGTTCCTTAAGGGGTTGTTGTACTGGAGGGTATAAGAGCCTAAATGTTTATTTTTAAGCATTACCAAAAACTTTGCTTTAAGTATGATGGTTATACTCTTGAAATGGTGTTAAATTTGCATATTTTTTATTTATTTGTGGTGCTGTAAATTCCCTATAGACATCCGCATCTTATCAACAGTTAAACTTAACCTGTATTTGACCATGGGATTATTTCTACAACAAACAAAATGTCAATAATATTATGGTTGCAAAATTGGTTCTAGATATGTATGCCATCAATCTTGGAAACACTTTTTTTTTCTTTCCTCAATGTTTTCTATTTCCCCCTTTTTAACAGCAATTATATGCAATATAACATGAGGAGCTAATAAAGAACTATCTTGCAGACCATTTACTGATCAATAAAAGTGATAGTATGGGTTGATGTATTTATTTCCATCATCTTCAGGGTGGCCCAGAGCAAAGATACAAAGATGGACATAACCAATCTGGCTCGTGTATTTGGGCCCACAATTGTGGGTCATACCGTGCCTGACCCAGATCCATTGACCATTCTGCAGGACACAAAACGGCAGCCAAAAGTAAGTGATCTTATCTGGGGTCTGCAAAAGTGTACCTTTTTACTTTTTTGTGTTTTGGCCCAGAGTTTTTCACCAAGCTCTTTCTCTCTCTCTCAGGTGGTTGAGCATCTCCTGGGTCTGCCTGTGGAGTACTGGAGTCAGTTTATGATCAGCAACAATAACCAGACTCACAATGATAACATGATCATTGAGAACGCCAATGTCCACGCAACTCCTGATCAGAAAAGTATGAATTTCACTGTAGCGAGTATGTTTGGGCCCCTTACGACTCCTGACCAGCAGATGAGCAAGACCCCATCCTCCAGCTCTCTCTCCCAGCGCATGAAGAATGCAACTCTCAATGCAATCACTCCAAAGTATGTTTGAATCCTATCGCGTTCTGCCACTGTTCTTTGAGTAGAAGTGAACTAACCATTATGAACATCCCTCCTGTTTTCAGGTTCTCTAGCAGGAGCAGAGCTGCAGTCAGCGTCCCTCGCCAAGGGCACTTCTTCACCTCTCCTCTCCTAAAGTAACCCTGAAGCTCCTCAAGGCTAAGAGTTTTTCTTTTTCTTTGGAAACAGCTGCAATATATTACATAATCCTACTTGTATATTTTATGTCTGGTTTGTCCATCAATTTGGACCATATTAACGCTACTCTTTTTATCTGTCAAGTTCTCTAGTAACGTTTGTATTTTAGTTGCTTTTAAATGTTTTAATGTACTGTTAACATTCTCACAACCAAAGCGATGGGCTGATATAAACAGTTCCATCAGTCACTGAATCCTCAATTAACAACAGGATCTGCATCAGTTTGGGAGTTCTTTATCAAGAAACCTGAACTTGAATGTAGCATCTAGAACAAAAAAGGTTATGCTGTATGCAAGATTTGTATATAGTATAATCTGAAACCGTAACCTTGTGTATTGCTTGAATATTGTAATTGTATGTTTTACATGGAACAAGCAAAATCCCAATCTCTTAAGAGGGTTCAAGGCTGTAGTGACCATCAGATTTTTCTATGTAGAGTGTAAACTGTGTGTTTAAACATGGTCAAACTTAGATTTCACAGCCAGTAGATTTAATACAGAATTTGTTAAGATGATGCTGCTAATGTTTAAATTTATTAATTTGTATTGTTTGAGGAACACTGCTTCTGAACCCTCTGCGATTTGTGCATGGAGGGGTTCAGGACGGTAAGAAAATTGAGAATATATGCAATTTGTAATGAAAAACACTTGGTGGTTGTGCTTGGGCATTTTGTCTTTCAGCATCATAGTTGTTTTTTGATCATAAATGAACATGGCCAGAATTCTTTCAGATTTTCACTATGGCATTCATTTGTCTTTATGCAGTTTTGGCTCAATTTATTGAATTTTGTACCGCATTTAAAGTAGAAACAAAAAAATGGTGTCCTCTGGGAGAGTTGACTGATTTTTGAAGGATCTAGTGTACCTCATCCAATTCATAAAAGATTATACTGGTTGGACACTCTTTACTGTATACAATTAGTCATTTTCCTTTCAGTGGTGCCACATTTCAGGACCAGTAGTTGTGCAGCACTGAACTGTCAAGTTTTCATCATTTTAAAAGGGCAATTGTTTACTGTGTTGAACATTGCAGTTAATTTATCAACTGTTGCTTTTCAATTTGGGTGGTGTGATATTTTGTAAGACTTGTGCAGTTTGTCAAATACATTCATTTATTGCAAGTCCTTTGTGTCTGTCTTTTAACACATCGCATTGGGATTTAGAGTTGGACTGTGACGTAAATGTTCGCATTTAAAATACAATACAAAATCACTGAGGCACAAAGTGTGCCAGAATATGAGACCGGGTAGTTGAATTAATTGAAAGAGAAGTATTGATAGATTTCTTTGAAGAATTTCCTTGTGGGTTACAACTGCAAAGTAACTAGGTGTACTGAAAATGGTATAATGAAGAAACTAGATCCAGGAATGAGGACATCTATATTGTTTTCTTAAGAAATAGTTCACTCAAAAATGGAAGATTGTGGAGATTTAGCATATTACTTGTTCATCAATGAATTAGTGAATGGGTGCCATCAGAACTAGAGTCTAAACGGCTGATAAAAACACCACAATAGTCCAGTCCATCAATTAATGTAAAGTCGAAAAGCTGTTTGTACTAAACAAAATCAAGACATTTTTAACTTCAAACCATTGCTTTTGGCTAAAATATGAGTCCTCTTCAATACATAATATTGCTTTCTCCAGTGAAAAAGTCATTTTATCTGAATCAGAAGGGAAATATGTAAAGATCAAGCACTGTTCTAAGTTGATATTTATAAACATATGTTGGTGGATTTTGATGTGAGGACAACAAGGGATGACATTTTTCACTGGAGGAAGCTTTATTATAGATTGTAGCCAGAAGTGTCTGATTTAAAGTTAAAAGGCCTTAATTATGGGTTTGTTTTTTACAAACACAGCTTTTCGCTTCAAAAGACATTCATTGATGGAATGGAGTCATGTTGTGGATTATTGTGATGTTTTTATCAGCTGAACACTCATTCTGACGGCACCCATTCATTGCAGAGTATCCATTGATGAGCAAGTGATGTAATGATACATTTCTTCAAATCTTCTCAATAGAAACAAACTCTTCTACATCTCAGGATGGCCTGAGGGCGAGTCAATTTTAATTTTTTGGTGAACTATTCCTTTAACTACTCACACTATTGTGTCTGTATTTCCAGACATTCACAAGAGCTCTCAATGTTCATTAGTAAGCATGAGCAATTACTGCAAGTTCTGTAAATATGCTTTATTCTCCTTTAAATTTGGGGAAGGGCCATAGGAGTGGAGTGTTCTTGATGTAGTTCTGGAAAGCAGGGTCTGATCCCCACTTCTTCATAGTTTGTTTCTCAAGGATGGGGATCCCACTAACGTGTCTCAGTAAAAACCAGACAAAGAGAGGAGAAACCACAGTGAGATATTGAGGACCACGCATGACGGAGGAAGCGGACAGGAACAGGCCTGACCACTGCAGGATCTCCCCCAGATAGTTTGGGTGTCTGCTGTATGCCCACAGTCCATGATGAATAAATGTTCCCTGCGAATACAAGTAGGCTTACATGATTTATGTCTTAACATTAATTAAAATGTCATATGCAAAGTAATAAGCACTCAGGATTTCTTGACGCTAAATTCAAAATGTTTAATTAAAGGTGAACAGTGTCATTTCTGCATCACTTCCCCTGTCTGCCATTGGTTGGACAACCAGATAGCCCCGCCCCAAACACACACCTTTGGTTAAGCCAAAGTAGCTGGTTAGAATGTTCAAACAAACGAACCAACAAATGGTTCACATATAGTTTCTGTATATTTAACCCATGTAAAAAAAATATGCACTTCTTTGGTATTCCTCCCTTAGTAAAAAAGGTATAACATTAAAAAGAATAATACATTTGGTATAAAATGGCCAATAACAACCAGAGGGTTAAGAACGGACAGTTTGATCCAGTTTACCATTATCTATTAGAGCACAGGCCTTATAAAATGAACGCTATTATATTAAAATATCTCTTTTATGATGCAAGTTATATGATTTACATGTCATAATTTGGTCGTCTCATCAAATTATTATCAGTGCAAGTTATTACTCACTGCGTTATCTGGATCACTCCTAAAATTCCACTTCTGCAGGTCGGCAATGGCCTCTGTAGCAAAACCCAGCCCCCATATTCCCCAGCCGATGTAGTCACGTGGGCCCAGGGGCTCATCTCTTCTCTCACTGTTTAGAATTAGGGTGGGCAACAGGGTAATAAAGACCCACAAAGCTAGAAAAAAAGGAGAAACATTTCATTTTAATGAAAGTTGACTAACTTGATGGCAGTAAAGTTACTTTCCAAGTTGTTCTTAGTGTAGAACATTGGAATAGAATAAAATATTCAAATAGAATAGAATTGAGCTATGTGATCATTATGTGACAGAATAGAACAGTACAGAATAGGTGCACGGTTCAACTTCTACTTGTGTAATTCATAATATAATGCAATATAATATTAAATACTGAAATAGAATAGGTTGAATATTTGATCTTTATTATGTGATAGAGAATAGAACAACAAAATAGGTGCAACTTATAAGTTAAACTACTTATGGTATTTGATTCATAATAGAATAGAATACAATATAGAAATCTAATCGAGATATACTGAGTGACAAAAAATATTGACCTTTTTCATGATATTCTAATTTATTTAGATGTACCTGTATGATCATTATGTGATATAATATACTAGTAAAGGTACTTTCCTAGTTATCTTTTTGTTGTTGTTGTTGTGACTGAACACAAATGGCCTACTGCGGCCATCAATTAACATTAACTATGCAAATAATCAATAGCTGTGGTTGAAATACCTTGCATGGTCCAGTACACAAAGAATGTCCCAGGGCTGTCTCTGACATTGTCAAATCTCCGGTCTTGTCCTTCCTTTAGGATTCTAAGAAAGAGAAATGTCCCGAGCCTGCAGGACAAGGCCCAATCTGTTACTAATTGACTTATTAACCAGACCTTAATGGATACATTAATGCAACAAAAAGCTGGACTGACTTCACTTTTATTAACGCTGTTAAATCTACAAGACAAGACTGAAATAAATAGACCTGTCTTTACTTTATTGAACACTTTTACAATATCTATCTATCTATCTTACCTCAGACCCCAGGCAGTGACAAGTCCAGTTTGTACGTTCTGTCTAAAGTGGCCATTTCCGCCCCATACCCGACTCAGATGAGCCAGCAATATGAAGGTACCAGATCCTACAAAACAACAAAATTAATCTGTAGTTAAACTGATAAGGCATTCAATATCCTGCCAGATATGGGCAGAGCAGCCAGTCACCTGTGTCCGTCCATTTTAAAAGTGAGGCGTGTTCACTGAATACTTTACCAATGAATCTAGAGACAATTGGTAGCAAAGTTCAAGGATCCTCAAGAGCACACTTCTCAGAGAGAAAGAGAGGGAATAGCATTCAGTGACCTGGGTTTGAAAGACTGAAATGATTGGATAATATTTGAACTACACTGAAAAGCAATGCAAATTGAATGCTGACAGGTGAGTAGAAGCTATTTTTATGTAGAGAGCAAGACTTTGAATTACATGGATAATCAAGTCCTCGTGGATAATTCTCACATCGCAAGTTGTGATTACATTCTACATACCATGCATAAGATGCTAATCAATATAGCTGTTAAAATTAATTTATGCAGTATTAAACTGTTTATGTATAACATTATAAACCGTTTTAAAATTGTGTTATAATGCATTTTAAATATCTGTACAGAGGTTATTGTTTAAAAAGTATGTTTCCGTATAAATATAATTTAGTTTCGAGGTTTGTGCAAATATGTTTATACAGATTAAAATAGCACATTGTTTTGCACTTGTACTAATTTATAGGCTCCAAGATCATATCCGAGTTACAGTCGTTCGTGTACAAGTCCCGCCTCTATCTGCAGGATTTACAGTGACGTACCCAAAGTTTGGCCAATTATACGACGGCTACTCTGTAGATAAACTGCTCTGATTGGTTGAGAGGCCGGCTTGTCGAAATACAAGTGCACTTCAGTAAGCTTTAGGATGTGGGTGGAGAGACGTATTTATGGTGGTTTCACAACACGTTATTGTAGTTTAGATAACCACCGTCTCGTAATACAATTTACCTAACCTATTTTTCTCGTCCAAAAATAAAAAAAGCTATAAAAAAGCTGCAACAAAACAACTGCAATATTTTTAAGGCGAAATACCATTTTTATGTGTGCATACTAATGCATGAACATTACGAAGCATAATAGATCATATTACTATATCAATATCGTGTGACTACGCCTTTTGGATAAATCATTTACCTGCCAAGTCGTAAAACTTTTCCGTTTTGAGAGCAGACGCTAGTGCCCACCCAACCCACTGAATGGCCAGGTCGGTGACAGCACACTTGGCCAACGCGCTTCCCATGATCATGTCCAGCATGTCCTGATTCTGAAGAAGCAGCAATGTTACAAACTCAGTTCAGCCCAAAAAGCAGATCAAAGTTCATAACATCCACATTTGTGAGGAAGAGGAGTGGTCAATGTTGCTTGTATGTACTGTGGCTTATGGGAAATGTAGTTTGGAAATATCAGTAATGCTTTTTATGTCTTAGGTACTGTTTATATCGAATAGAATAGAGTAGAATAAAGCTCAGTAGCATGTGACCCATAATAGAATATAAAATAATAGAACAAATGCAAAATTTTACTTCTACTTATCTGATTAGAATAGAACAGAAAAGGGGAATAGAACAGAATAAGCTGAATGTTTGATCTTCATTATGTTATATAAAATAGAATAGAACAGTATAGAATAAGTTCAGCTTTTTATCAAATTTCTAACATTTATTTATATAGTGCTTTTTACAATATAGTAGTTTCACAGTAATTAACAGGAAAATAACTTGATGTTGCAGAATTTTTCAACAATTTCAATTTCAGCTGTAAAGCAGCTCGACAGAACAGACGATATTGTCATAATTCAGCTCAGTTCAGTTCAATGTTGATTCATAATATAATATAACATTTAATATAAAATAATATAATGACTCTAGCATCCCATACGGTTTGGAAAATGAATGAATTATATACTATAATCTAGGCCTAATATAATATAATTTCAGCATTCTCCACAAGCGGGCCCTTACATAACCATTCACTATAAAATATGACTCAGGGGCCGCCACAAAGCTCAAATCATGACCGGGAAAGATAAGAAGTTTACGACTTATGACTGTGGAAGAAGCCAAGAGAAGGTGTGTTTGGACAGAATACAGAGGTATGTAAAGACACCAAGTCCACTGTCGTTTTTCTCTAAAAAATTCCTTTTATTTCCCAGGGTTGGCCAGGTAATTTAAGGGTCTAACAAAACATTATTCAAGAAGAAAACAAGTGGAGAACATGGCAGAGAGCAAGGCCAGCATCAGCTCAAAAGGAGGGGCCAATGTTCTTGCTAAACGGATGCAGAAACAATTCAACAGAGCACAGGAGAAGGTACGTGGCTGGAATCATAAAACACAATGTCAAGAGCGACAATGTGATTTCCAAAGTCTTCCTGTTTGAGAGCACAGAGACTTTAGTGTTATTTTCATCCAATAATCAATCCAGTCGCATGACATGGGAGTAGCTGACACAGGTCGCTTTATCTACTCCAGCGACAAGAGCCAATGTAAACAAGCAGCTCCTTTCGCTGCTTAACAGTCTCCTTTATTGCCACAATTGTATTTTATTTGACTACTAAGGCTGACCAAGTCACCGTTTACTTTTCTGTCTTCACCTACTGAGTCTGTTTAAGCCAGGGGTATCCAGTCCTGTTCCTGGAGATCTACCTCCCTGCGAACTTCAGCTCCAACCCTGATCAAACACAACTGAACCAGCTAATTAAGATTTTCAGGAGCACTACACAGGTGTGTTTGGGCAGGGATTGAGCTGAACTCTGCAGGTTGATCTGAAGATCTCCAGGAACAGGACTGGGTTTAAGCCCTTCATATCTTGTCATCTCAAAGTATCTATTGGAGAAGTCAGGTGAATATTTCGATCTACAACCATGTAAGCAAGCCTTTTTCTTCGCCAGTGTGCGCTTATCAATATTTCAAGGTTCAGGTGTAACATCCATTGCAGTGCTGTCAGTAGAGTTTGACAATCCCCTTGTCATGGCTGTCAGGTATGCAATATGTGATGCTTTTGCAGGTGTTGCAGAGGCTTGGCAAATCTGAGGAGACCAAAGATGAGCACTTTGAGCACTGTGTCACGAACCTCCAATACCAACAGGTGCATTAGATCTGCTATTGTATACAAAGTGACTGCTTTGAAGATCAAAAGATTGCCTAATATGTCCTTGTGATCTGCTTTGCAGAACGATGGATACAGAATATACAAGGACCTTAAAGCGTACCTCAATGCTGTCACAGGTTGGCTCTTTACTATGAGACTCATATAGGAGATCAGCTTCTTCTGAACAGGATTACTGACTGTCGTTGTATGTTTAACAGTAATGAGGGATGCTTCAAATCGACTGTTTCAGTCCTTGTATGATGCCTATGATGATAAGTGGGATGGTGCAGAGGATCTTGGGCCAGTTGTGGAGGTTAGTCTCAGAGACCACTGTAAGAATATATAGAAAAACAGAAAAGGCCTTCTGCCAGGACATTATCTGTTAAGTTTACATTTCATTTAACCCTAAAACACCTGTGAATATACAGTTTTTTTCTTCTTCATGGCAACAGTACATTGGTCGCTATTTTTAAAGACTTTTCTTAGAGTCTTGGGCAGTCTGTGATGTTTGGACATGAAAGTTACACTTTAAAATCCAAATGCGCGGTCATCAGCGAAATTTCACGGGCAAAGTATGTTCATTGTGCATTTGTCAATAGCGATGTATGAAGAGCTGCTTACTCAGAGGTCACTTCCAAACCAAGCAGCTTTATATTCTTTATACACACTCACAAGCCTCAGCTTTATACACACTTTATTATAAATGATTATACATCCTAAATTATTATAAATTCTCAAATTATAATGACCTATATTAAATATGGCTCTCTGTGTTCCAAAGGGAGAAGAGCTTCTGTGGAAAGATTATGAGGACAAGATGCATGATCAGGCATTAATCACGATGGAGTCGTACATGAGCCAGTTTCCAGATGTCAGGGTAAAAATGGCTGCCTCACATACTGGCAAATGCACCTTGCACAAAGCTCTCAGTCATTTTTTTAAATGCAGTTTGTATACTATTTTTCTTCATGATTCAGGAAAAGGTGGCCAAGCGAAACAGGAAGCTCGTAGACTATGATTCTACTCGCCATCACCTGACAGGGCTGCAGAATGCTAAAAAGAAGGATGATATTAAAATCGGAAAGGTATTGTATGCCATCTTTGACTTATTTCACACTTTTTTGTTCTGCCCGTGTTTGTAGCCTTACTGATAATTTCCAACCTTGCAGTCATGTTCTTTACTACCAAAAATGACATTACTAGCAACATTATGATATTATTCAGATTCTTGAAGACCATGTATGTATAGATGTATAGGATTTTCCGTATATGCTGGTGTTTTTATAGGCAGAGGATGAGATGAATGCAGCAAAGGTGATATTTGAGGACATGAACAGGGAGCTGAAGCTGGAACTGCCTCTTCTATTTGACAGGTGACTTTTTGAGTTATTTTTATAGTAGATTTGGTTTAAATCTTAATGTCCATTACCCTTTCTAATATTAAATATTGCTCTCTGTTTTCCAAAGGGAGAAGAGCTTCTGTGTAAAGATTATGAGGACAAGATGCATGATCAGGCATTAATCACGATGGAGTCGTACATGAGCCAGTTTCCAGATGTCAGAGTAAAAATGGCTGCCTCACATACTGGCAAATGCACCTTGCACAAAGCTCTCAGTCATTTTTTTAAATGCAGTTTGTATACTATTTTTCTTCATGATTCAGGAAAAGGTGGCCAAGCGAAACAGGAAGCTCGTAGACTATGATTCTACTCGCCATCACCTGACAGGGCTGCAGAATGCTAAAAAGAAGGATGATATTAAAATCGGAAAGGTATTGTATGCCATCTTTGACTTATTTCACACTTTTTTGTTCTGCCCGTGTTTGTAGCCTTACTGATAATTTCCAACCTTGCAGTCATGTTCTTTACTACCAAAAATGACATTACTAGCAACATTATGATATTATTCAGATTCTTGAAGACCATGTATGTATAGATGTATAGGATTTTCCGTATATGCTGGTGTTTTTATAGGCAGAGGATGAGATGAATGCAGCAAAGGTGATATTTGAGGACATGAACAGGGAGCTGAAGATAGAACTGCCTATTCTATTTGACAGGTGAGTTCATAGTACACAGATGGATCTTGTTTAAAAATGCAATATTGATTACCTTAATTTCTGTTTGTTCCGCATTATATAGTCGCATTGGATGCTATGTCACAGTCTTCCAAGCCATTTGCAACCTCAGAGACATCTTCTACAAGGAGCTTACCAAGGTAAAGCAAAAGCTGAAAATACAGCTTGAAAATAAAATACTTGGATCAAACAAATGAGTGATTCCTCATGTTCTGTAACTACCTGAGAAGTCTTTTTTTCTTTTTCTTTTTTGGCCCCAAGAACAATGAGGTTCTGCAGACTGTGATGAAAGAGCTGAGCACCCAGCATCCAGACAAGGGCTTTGTTGTGAAGAACTTCAACCGGTATAAGGCTTTATTGTCTGTTCTTCTATATATTTTTCCAATAAACAAGTTAAATATCAGTAGTATAATATTTTACAGTAACAAATTACTCTTTGTTTTCCTTTTAAGCTCTGGTTCCTTGAAGAGAAGGTCATTTAGAGACACGTTGTCCCCCAGATCACTTAAAAGCTTTAAAGATTTCCCATTACAGTTAAAAGTTTGGAATAATTAAGATTTTTTTTAATGTTAAAGTCTTTTATGCTCACCAAGGCTGCATTTATTTGAAGAAAAATACTGTAAAAACAGTAATATTGTGAAAATAATTACGTTTTACATTTGAATTACATTAGAGTCACATGATCCTTCAGAAATCATTCTAATATGCTGATTTGCTGCTAAAGAAACTTCTTTTTTTTATCAATGTTGAAAACGGTTGTACTTGTTATTATTTGTGTGGAAACCATGATACATTTTTTCCCAGAATTCTTTAATGAATAGAAAGTAAAAAAAACAAAAACATAATTTATTTGAAATAGAAATCTGTTGTAACATCATAACCTTTCATTTGCAGTCTGGCAAATGAGCCCGTAGGTAATTATAGCCATGCTTTTAAACAATTCTGAACAATTCATTCCATAATTCCTACTGTTTTATGTTCGGTTTCAAAAATATAGTACATAGTATACAGTATAATTATATACTGCAGTGTTCAGTAATTAGTAGGCTATTCCATTCTGAACATAGCCATTATGTTCATTCTTTAAAGAAACATAAAAATGTAGTTCAAAAGAGGATGTAATTGTTATTTGTTTGACCTGTTTCAAGGCTCTTACCAAGGGTGACCATCCGTCAGGAGAAGTGAACGAGTGAGTGACAGCAGAGACCCCTAAATAGCAGACAAAAGGTCAGCATAATTTGAGAGCACTTACATGTACAGCTCACACTCATGTTGTGCTCATGTGTTTCATCTAATCCACTATGAGCAGATGGCTCAATGTGTTTTTCATTTACATTTTGTATCTGTTTACAGAAAAGACAGTGTTTATTGGCAATACACTGGAATCGGACTGCAAATGCACAACATAAGAGGACATCAAATGCTGTACTCGCTTGTATTCATTATTTTTTTCATCCTTGATCTTTTGAGATATGAATTTTCAGATAAATATTTAAATTCTGGGTTTTAATCCAAGTTTCTTTTAGAATACAATCACTTTCCTGTATTGTCTTCTATCCTATGTGGTGGTCTTCCTTATGGATTTTAATGTTTTTAGATACACTATATGACATACATTTATCTAACTGATCACAGGAAGCAATGGGAAATGTTTGTTATGTACTTGACAATTATCCATAATGAAATAACTTAAAAATAAAAATTAACTTGTCACTCAGTCGCCTATGTTTTATTATTATTATTTTATTATTTTTTATTTTCTTCATTACACACTCAAGCAATTAAACTACTGCTCCAAATCTCCTTTCTTTATTTTTAGAGGTTAGTCTAGAATACAGGGTGGTGGTTGTTGGTTAATATTAGTCATTTCGTGGAATGCGACTATTGTTTGATTCTTCACGGGAGCGGGCAGGAGGAAACACTCGTGAACGCGCCCACGCACAGCAAAGGGAAGTCACTCGTTTCGGAGAATCGGCTCATTTGAACTGTTTGTTTCAAAGAACCTGTTCCAAAGTGATTAAATGATTCTTTACGTCATGACGCAATTACGTCAGCTCGCCGTATGGTTCCACAATCAAACGTCCTAATAAAAGCAAACGCATTTTATTATTTTTTTTCTACTACGTTTTATTAATTAGTTAAGTAATTTCATGTGTCGCAGTTCAATTTGTTTCAGCTATGATATAACAAGTGAATAAAATTACACTTAGCCTATTTACATATGTTAGCGTGTAAGGGCGTTGGTAAAACTTCATACAATTTTCATATTTTCAGTACGTTTTCAAATCCCGGTTTGTGACGGCAAAGGCTGTGTTCGAATTCGGTTCAATGAATCGTTTAGGTCACTGAATCGAGATTGAGAAACGCTCAGTCTAGTTGGAGTTTGTGAACCGGTTCAGCTGATTCGTCGAAAAGATCCGACTCAAACGAACGATTCGTTCACAAATCGGACATGATCGCGCACTCAAGACAGTTTTGTGGATGAACTTGTGGTGGCTTCATGCTGTTCTGTCGTGGCTTGAACGCAGCTTACTTTTCATGATTCCTCGGTCTGAAGTTTAATTTTTATCTTTAACTAAAAGTAGTTTAACCGCGACTCTGACACTCGAACAGGTAAGTTTTTTTTTTGTTCCTGTTGGGCTGGAAGTAAGTTAGATCTGACGGTTTCAAATGGCTCAACAGCTGTAAAATGATCACAGTGATCGTTCACAGTGTGAGAGGAGATTTCTGACTACGATCGATCAAAACAAATAAATGGAATCGTGAGGATTACAGTTTTAGGCTGTCTCTACCTCAAAACAAACAAACAAACAATCTCACCGGTGCGTGTTTCTTTGCAGCATCTCTAGCTTTGTGTGTAACGTTAGTGTGCCTACATCACGATGAGAGCCGTTTTAAAATGAGCTTTGTGTTTTAACCCTACGAGATTTGTAAGAAAGCAAGTTAATTCAATTTAGGAAGTGAGACTTATGACTGCTGCCACAGCATTTTATTTATAAGTTTAATTAAGGTCATTCGACAAAACGGGTGGGTTTGTATACATTATAAGCATGTGGGTAAATATGATTAAATGAATGAAAAGCGAATGCAAACATTTAATGTATGTTAATATAGACATTTTTCCTAACCATAGCATAAAAAAGGGGAAAAAATCTGTCTCTTCCTCATGTCTTATCTGACTTGTCTCCACCCCTGTGTATCTAACTTCTTCACACTAGCATTTTATCCTATCATATACAGTATAGGCCTTGTAATGTATAATAATAATGTCTCATTGCTAAATAAATAATAAATAATCCCATTGCTATGATTTTGGGTGGTAAACCAAAATCAGCATTAAATTCTCTTTCTAGAAAGAATTTTGTAGTTTAATTAATTTAAACAACATTTTTAATGTCAATTTAAAGTTGAAAACGGTTTCATTTCAAAACAGGCTTAATTGTGGTCCAACATATATAAAAATGCATTAAAGGAATAGTCCAAAAATGTAAATTTGCTGAAAATGTACTCACCCTCAAGATGTTTGAATTTATTGCAGTGAATGGGTGCCGTCAGAATGAGCGTAGCTGATAAAAACATCACAGTATTCCGCAAATAATGCACACGACTCCAGTCCATCAATTAATGTCTTGTACAGCAAAAAGCTGCATGTTTGTAAGAAACAAATCCATCATTAAGATGTTTTTAACTCCAAACAAACTCATCTACATCTTAAATGGCCTGAGGGTGAGCAAATTCTCAGCATATTTTCATTTGAGTAAACTATTCCTTCAATTTAGCTTGAAATATATACCATTTATAATTATAATACAATGTATCAGAATGTTTGAAAAATTACCATATCATACTAGAAACACCCATTTTATAGAATGACCCTTAACCTGTGATGTGTGTAGAAATATTTTGAAAAGTGGGTTGACATAAGTTTTTACAAATGACTTTACTCCCAAATTACTCCCAAAATGTAGAAATGTCTAGAAGATGATTTTAAGTCCCTGAACATTTAATACACAATTTTCTATTCCTTCTTCCACATGTAAGTGTCCCTCTCTTCAAGCAGTTCCAATAAGCCTCAATGGCACACAAACTGTACATCTGTCTCACAACCCAGTGATGTTTGTCCATGTTTAGTTAATGTTTAAACAGAAGTTTACTTAACAAGTCATATCGTCTGTTACAGAAAGGACATATTTGTAAAAAAAAAAATAGAAGTCACAGTTGGTACTATGTTTTTTTGTTATTGAATTGAGTAAACAAGGTTTATTTTGCTCCATATAGGTGTCCGTTTCAATACAGTTATGACTTTCACCATGACTAGCACACCTGCTGGTAAGTTCTACACCTTGTCTTCTAATATAAAGAGCCAACTAATATAAAGAGCAATAAAAGTTTCCCTCACAGGCTTTGGGTGTGTCATTTATATCAAACAATGAATCTGAACATTATAATAGGCTAGTGTAACATAATCTTGGCACTAACACAATTTATTTTGCATAGAATACTTGTACAGTAGTATAACCTGACCTCATTTGGGTCTTGAAATGTTTCATTCAAGGCTGTACTTAAAGGTGACACATTATGCCCCTTTTTACAATATGTAATATAAGTCTCTGGTGTCCCCAGAATGTGTCTGTGAAGTTTCAGCTCAAAATACTCCACAGATCATTTATTATATAATTTTGAAAATGCCTATTTTGAGTGGAAGCAGAAACAAGCTGTTTTTCGAGCCTGTGTCTTTAAATGCAAATGAGCTGCTGCTCCCAGCCCCCTTTTCCAGAATAGAGCTGCGCCATTACAGCTCGGACCTTTGCTCAAACTTTCGCCATGGCATTAGAACTAGTACACCGTTGTCACTTGCGAAATCAGACGGACGGTGCCTTGAGTGGAAGTTTACAGATTAAGGGCGGTAATATTATAATGAGATTCCTTTTCCAAGTCACCAAGGGAGCGAAATCAGAGGCGCTCGTTTTCTCAGATGCTTGCAGAAAAAGGCTTACCAAAACAAAGTAATTGGGATAATCTTTTTCACGTTTTCTTGGTTGGTAGATGCACCAGGGACCTGATTATAGCATTTAAAACCCGGAAAAGTCAGATTTTCATGATATGTCACCTTTAAG